CCTCCTTCTGCGGCAATTCTGACTCGCCCTTCCCCGCGTTTCTTCAGCTTCTCCGTTAGCTGTGAGATTGGACCGGACCTTACCTTCCAACTCGACTAAGCCTTGCATCGCGTGGGATCTATTTTTGGTTCATCCTCTCGTCATGGCATCCCAGGACAACCTGCCCGACTCGGGGCAGTCTCCCGCTGGGATGAGGAGCCGCAGTATCAGTCCATATAATGATCCCTCCGCCGGTTTGACCTTGGATATCTCCGTCGCAACCACTACAGCTCCTTATACCTCGACTTCCTACAACCCTTCCAATCCTGGCGCCTCTGATTCCTACGGCTATAACCCCACCGGTTATCTCTCCGCACCCTCCGCCGCGCAGACGCTGGCCCCGACCGATCACACATACTCCCACAGCCTTCAACTGCCACAATCCTTCGATGCTGGGTTGATGCCCCAGCTGGACCAGTCAACGGGCCTGTCCTTGCAGCAACAGCAGCAGCAACAACAACAACAACCACAAGCGACAGACGAGAATTTCTCTAATCTGTTGAACTCGAACCCCGCAGATTTCGACTTTGCCCTCTATCAGAACCCTAGTCCGAGCAGCACGGCCGCTCCGGACTACGACTCCCCGCTCCTGCTAGACCCCCAAGTTCACGGTCAGTCCCGACCGGGCAGTCAAGCGGTAAACCCCGCCGACCTCGTTAGCCAGATACCCTCTCCTCATCCTTCGGCTTCTCCGCAATTGTCCCCGATCTCCCCCCAGGACCATTACCAGCACTCATCTCCCGGGCCCATGTCGCCGCCCAACTCGACGCCGGGGACTTACTACACCCCGCAACATTCCCGCCATACTTCCTTGGATCCTGCCAGCGCTGCATACATGTCGGGCAATGCGCATACGGATTGGCAGGCAGTCATGGCCAATTCTGCCTTCCAGGGCCATCGACGGGCCCCATCTGAGGTGTCTGAGGTGTCATCCGCTGCCCCATCTCCATACATGTCCCAGCATGAATCTTTTGATGGCGTGGAGAACAATCCCTCCCCACTCCTAGCGCCCCAGCATGACCCCGGTCTTTACGACAATGCACTGGGCATTGAATCTTTCACTTTGTCTGATGGTCAGCAACAGCACCATTCACAGGGCATCAGCCCCGCCCACAGTCCATATATCTCTCCGCAGTTGATGCCTCAACAGCCCACAGACATGATTCCCAACGTGCCATACATCTCTGCTCCTGCGGGCAACTCGCAGTACCCCACCCCACCGACCGACATGTACGGGGAGGGTATGATGGTCCAAGGAAACGGTGGTATGGGAGACATAGGTCAAGCATCGCAAATGGCGCCCCCATCTATCAACGTGGAATTCGCACCCCCGGCGAAGAATCTCAACCTCCCGCAGACGAAGCCCAGTGCGGACTTGGACTCTTTGAGTCCACCCGTTGCCATGCGTAAGTTGTCACTGCTCGGCTTGATCTTTGCATTCCCTCGCACAATGCTAACTGCGAGCTTATAGGCTCCCGCATGCGTAGTAAGTCGGACCCATATGCCCATCCGGCTTCTCGCGCACGGTCATCTTCTACTTCGACCAGCCTGGAGCCGTTTGTGCCTCCGTCACCCCGGTCGCTGTCGCCTTTTGATACCATGAGGGGACAGCCACATAGTAATCCCAGCTCCCGAGAGCCGTCTCCCTCGCGATCGGGTCGGCGACTGTCCACGTCGTCGATCGACAGTAGAAATTACATTCTCGGCCTTGCGGATCCCCAGAGGCCTGGGGGCAACCCTAACGACTCCAAACGTGTCCAGAAACACCCGGCCACATTCCAGTGTCACCTGTGTCCCAAGCGCTTCACGCGAGCCTACAACCTACGATCTCATTTGCGCACTCACACGGACGAGCGGCCTTTCGTATGCACTGTCTGCGGAAAAGCTTTTGCGCGACAGCATGATCGAAAGCGTCATGAGGGGCTGCACTCGGGCGAAAAGAAGTTCGTCTGTCGCGGTGACCTCTCGCGCGGTGGACAGTGGGGATGTGGCCGGCGATTTGCTCGTGCGGATGCTCTGGGTCGTCATTTCCGTTCCGAAGCTGGTCGGATCTGTATCAAGCCATTGTTAGATGAAGAGTCTCAAGAGCGGGAGCGCACAATGATGGATCAGCAACAGCACCTGCAGCCTATACCACCTCCATTGATGGTGCCAGGAATGGATGGCCAACATACCAGCAATTTCGTTCTCCCTGCCGCGTTGTTGGCCCAATACCCCGCGCTGCAAACTTTGCAGTGGGATCAAATCCCTGCCACCGCAGACGATCCCAGTGACATAGGAGGTCGCAGTAGTTTCGACGCCAGTTCCGGCGGAGAGTTCGGATTTGATGATGACGAATCCGGCCTCAGTAGTGTCTCTGGCATCAGCGGGAGCTACGGGGGCCCGAGTAACATGTACGATGTTAATAATACGGGCCAGATGTTAGGAGTGAACCCTGCAGAATCTGGTTATCGAGAAACCGATTGGAGAGCATGACAATGCGTGTCTCGGTGATGCTCGCTTGCCCTCCCATATTTTCCTTCGTTCTTTAGCTCGGGTGCTATATCCTTTTACCCAATTTTTCTTTCTTCTTTCCTTTCCCCATCTTTATCAGTTAACAGGGAATATTTCTTTTCATATTACCCGAAATCCGAGGCAACGGGTGCAGCAGGCTTCATGATTTCGATTTCTCAATAGAACAGGGTTTTGGCGTTGAGATACAGGGAGACAGATTGGATTGGTGATTGATTGATTGATTGCCTCATGACGGCGGGTTTCACTTTCATTCAGACCTACCAGTTTCTTTTTTTTTTTTTTTTTTCTACTTCTTTTACTACTTTTCTTTCGTTCTCGGCTGGTCTAACCCGACCACACATTATCATTCTATCTTGTTACGTGATTACGAAGAATCCTTGAACTTCATACCCATGGAAGATGCTCCCGGTTGTGTTTTCGTGTGCGAGGTTTAGGTTTTTACTTATTTATTTTCTATTTTCGCTATTACCCAGGGAAAAGGGATATACTCTTGAATACGGATTATTAGGTCATTTTCATCACGTTAGTTGTCCTACTTATAAGTGGGAGGTGAATTGTTTAAGCTCATGTAATTGACTGGTGTGCGGTACTGACATACTAACAAACAGAATACATACCAGTCAGTCCCACACTGTGATATCCACATTCCCAAGACAATAATAGTATTGTATACAGTTCTCTTCAAAACAGTCCATATCCATCTACCTTTTTCTTATCTACGATTCGAGTTATACCAAGTACCCTTAAGAATAGAAGCAAAGCTTTGATTGAGCCCCAGCCGAAGACAAACCTACCTCCTATACGAGCGCTCCATGCATAGATTGCAAGGCGATCCTCGCATAAGGTAAATGTATCAATAAGACTGACTGACTGTTAGTTACTTAGTAGTACTAGATATAAAATATAAGTATTACTTCAGCTGTGTCCTGCCCTAACATTTTTTTTTTCTGATTACGGCATCCGGATGAAGGTGATATAAGGATTTAGGTTGCAGTGAAGGGGTTGGTGGGATATGATTAACTACTACTAGGATGGACAGGTACTATTCTAGTAAGGATGTTATGTGCTAGATTTTCAGTCAAGGGGAGGGGGGGGGAAGGACAGGGATGTAAGGTGAAGTTTAGAGGACTGGAGCGGAGGAGCATTCTGTACTCCTCTTTTGATACGAATGATATACACATACGATGATGATGATGGATGATGGATGATAATGCATTCATAACCCCCCCCCCCCCCCCCCCCCCCCATGCCGCAGGAAACGCCCAACAGCTGACCAGCTAGCTCAAGTCCTTAATGGAACAGATAATAGATATGATTTTCTTTTTAACCCTTTAAGGAGGTGGGATGGGATTGAATAATCAGATTTCCGCTACAAGCATAAGACGCTCACCGCACCAATTTCCCAATCTCCTCAATCCACTTAGCATGGAACTCTTCCTCGGTGAATCTCAACGCAGACTTCCTGGCGCGTAGCCGCATTGCGACCTTCTCTTCGACCGGAAGCGCAAGCGCCGCCTCGAACGAAGCAGCGAATTGCTCCTCCGTGGAGGCGCGGAAACCCGTGGCGCCATCGCCGAGATCAATGACGATGTCTTCGCGGGGACCGCCGGAGTCGTGGACCACGCTGATCAGACCGGCGGCTTGGTACTCGACGACGCAGATGCCGAAATGCTCGTTCCACATGGCGTTGACGCCGATGGAAGCCGTGGCGAGGTGCTCGAGGATGGTGGGCCAGCTGGCGTCGCAGATGAAGGTGGTTTGGTCGCGGATGCGGAGTTCGTGGGCTAGTAACCGGAGGTTGTAGATGTGGGTTTCGTCGGGGCTGGCGTGACGGACAGAACCGATGAGGACGAGCTTGGGCTCGGTTTCGGGGTCGGCGTTCTGGTCGCGGCGCTCTTGGAGGAAGCGGGCGAAGGAGCGGAGGAGTAAGGGGTGGTTCTTCTCCGGGCGGAATTGGGCGATGTACAGGATGAGGGGCTGGCGAGTGCGTTCGGTCTCTGGGGACACGGTGATGGTGGACTCGAGTTCGGAGACAGCAGTGGGTGGGAAGATTACGGTGGGATCTTTGTGGGGGTTGGTTTGGCGGGAGGGACCCCAGATGGTGCGGATGTGCGCTGATGTCCAAGAGGAGTTGCACATGACGACATCGACGTGGCCGCCTACCCAGCCGTAGAGTTTGGCAAATGCGATCCAGTACTTCCGCTTGATCTGGCCCTTGAGACCCTTTCCGGCGCCGGAGTTGACGCCTTGCAGGCCGGTCTGGTCGTCGAGGGATTGGAGCATGTCGGTAGAGATGGTCGGGTAGTGCACGTAGGCGGCGGTTGGAACGGAGGGGAAGAGAAGCTTGCTGAAAGCGAGGGTAAATGCGTAGCCCATTGTGTCAACGAAGATATCCGGAACAAGGAGGTTGAATGCATCCCAGGCAACGATGAGAGAGCCCAGGGATTGGCCGAGAAGAGTCATGTAGGGGTACATGCTGCTAACGACATATTTGCGGGTAGTGAGATAGAGGAGGACAACGGTCGGGGAGTGGAGGGTGATATTGAAGCGGTGCTGAGGTCGTCAGTATGTGCATGGAAGACACGGGGCTGCTAAATGGAGTAGTACCTGGACCCGTTCCAGCATGGCTGCTTTGTTAACCTCATGGTCGCCGGTATAGATGGCACAGATAGCCTTGGGCCAGCGTTTCTGGGTTGCTCTCACGGCCTCCCAGAGAACGCGTTCACCACCACCGCCTGCGTTACTGTAGGGAAGTGATCAGTAGGAGTTGGCACGAGGGGGTTGCCGAGGGCATTACCAGAACGGATGGAAGAAGCCGATGATGCCATCCCATTCTTCATTGCGGTTGATGCCAGCGGTTCCGGAGCTGGAGCTAGAGGTATCAACCTTCTCCCAGTCCTCCTCATCACCGGAGTTGGTAGCAGAGGCAGCCTTTGTACGAGTAGCGTGTTCTTCTTCGTCAGCGCGGACGCGCGAGATGATGTACTCGCGGCGAGAGCGGGTACGCTTCTGGACCAGCCAACCGACACCGCGGAGAACTAGGCGCAGAAGACTCAGGGGCAGCTGGGGTAGTAGCACACAGGTCGCCAGGAGGGCGAGCACGGTGAGGACCGATTTGAGGATGAGCAGCATCATGGCTAACGAAAGACAGCTGCGGACATGGCAGGTGGATGAGGAGTGGAAGAGAAGAAGAATGAAACTGGCCAGCGTGGAGGTTGAAGACGAAGCGAAGAAGCGGGTCGATCTCGAGATCCTTATCGATAGCCCGTATTGTATGGTACATTACATTACATACATGATATACTGACTGTATGGTCAATCATTGTCTTGTTCCTATCACCACGTGATATATAGCTTCCACGTGATAACATCTTTTCCACCCTCGGCGGCCCTTCAATTCATTCTGGTCTGATTCGGTCAACTCGGCGCGGCTTTGGTGAGGCATTGTCTCTCAATCCCATCATTTCATTATTCAATTCTTGTACATATTGTGTTTACAACTCATACGTCCAGCCAACCCGCCAATCACTCAACATGCGGCCCTTCCGATTGTCGCATCCCGCACGCAAGACGGCGGCTTTCCAGCAGGTCCGGCATTTCCACCCAACCCGTCCAGCACCCTTCATCAACGAAGCCCTCGAACTCTCCTCCGCCTTTCTCCATAATGTCCACGCTATTTCCGGTCTACCATGGGCCGTCTCCATCCCATTGAGTGCTCTGATCGTCCGAACAACCGTTGCTCTGCCGCTACAACTCTACAGCAAGATGCAAGCGAAACGAGAACGGGATGCGATACCCCTTCTGCATGCGTGGAACCGATGCTTTAAAGAGAATTTGCAGAAATCAGAGGACTACACCCGCGAGGATCGCCTATTGCTCGCTAAAATGGACCCTACAAGGGCCCAAAAGCAACAACTCATGAAGCAATTCCTGGAACGGAAACGAATCGTACACCGTCGCCTGGGCATTCCCCGGTTCTGGAAGCCGCTGAACTTCCTACAACTACCCATCTGGATCTCCATCATGGAGAGTCTCCGCGCCATGTCTGGCAATGACCGTGGTCTAGTGCCCTGGCTACTATCGCGCCTTGAGCCCGAGTCCGCGGATCCCTCGTCTGCCCTGCATCTGGCGGTCGAGCCCTCGCTCGCTAATGAGGGTGCTCTTTGGTTCCCTGATCTTCTGGCCGGGGATCCTACCGGTATCCTGCCCTTGGCACTAACACTATCTATTTTGCTGAATATCAGAATGGGTTGGAAGGCCCAGCCTCTGAAGAACCTGGCCGATCTGCCCAAGGTAGAGATGTACAAGCAGCTTTCCTTGCGGGGAATTCGGATGTTTGTTCAGGTGCTCGCGTTGAATGTGGGTTTGTCATCATATGTGTCGGAGATGCCTACCGCTTTGATGATCTACTGGCTTACCAGTACGAACGTCGCTACGTTGCAGACCTTACTCCTGGATCGGGTGCTTTTCCCGGTTAAGCCCCTGCCTGTATGGAAGAGGCACTATGTCATGTACAAAACACCAAAAAGCCTGGCGCCTCCGGCCAAGAAGTCATGAAGTCAGGATATGAATCTGACATGCAGACACATGAGAGTATGTGATACCAGGCTATAGCCGATTGGAACGGATCCAAAGGATACGAAAGTCATGTCCGGTGATGTAGGGGCTCTGCTCAGTCATGATTATCGAAATGCGCCTGAGGTGGTTTCGTTTTAGAAGGCCTCACTTGTTTGTGAAGGAAATGCGTCGCTCTTTCTTCGATCAGAACTACCCGGGTGCAATCGATTCGTGGACACACTCGTCCATTATCGAACCCATTGTGCGATGGCCTGACCTAACGGACCAGAGACAGGGTGCTCGAGCACTGAGGGAGCTTGACGATCTCAGCGCAATTATGGCGTGGCGGACATATACCACTTTGTACTATTTATTAGAATCTCGATACCCCAAGAATAGCATCAATTACACTTGCAAAAGCAGGAGTTACACGAAAGTAACGATCTATGTCATGTGTATCTCATTTCATGCTAATTAATGCATACTAAAGCAAGAGTAAGTTCCCCATCAGGCTCCGCGCGCGTAACGCCGCTGTACTGCCAGTCCATTTAGTCAGGGTGAAAGAAAATCATAAAAGACAGGAAATGCCGTCAACCGTGTATGCATGTATCACGAACGGGCATCAAAGACAAAGGATAAGAAATGGAAATGGAATCGAGCATGTTTTTCTTGCGTCTCTCTTTTCTGTCTCTTTGACGCCAATCGTAATAATGTCTTATGGTAAAATTTCTGGGTCTACA